ACTTACGAATTTCCTTCCATTAGCATGCGCAAACTTTCCATTAGATTTTTAGCGGTCGGTTGTCTCATAACTGATAGCTTGAAATGCAACAAATGCAACATGCAAATTTTGTTGAAAAATGATCATTTTCCAACAAAATTTCGACTAAATACGACAAACTCAATTGTGCTGTTCTTTGGTCTGAAGATCTAATATCGCTACTATGTACACTGATGTCGTTAGCAGTTATTGTGGAAAAACATTCGTCGCATTTTTGAAGAAATGTTTGTAGTTAAATAAGGTTAACTCAGATTTTAAGGCGTCAGCGATCTAGTTTGATAGTCAGACCTACCTAACATATCCTTTCTTCAATAAAGCCCATGTTCAACCTCGGACCTGTCAAGGCTCCTAAATAACTCCATCTTTATCCTCTCGTCAATGTTGCCATACCAGCTAACAAACATAATTCTAAACAAATAGAGCTCGTTGGATGTGTAAAAGAAATATGCCATGCATTTTGTGTTTTCCCAAGTTAACTAAAATATTAAAAGTACAGTCTTCTTTTCTGTTAGATCAATAGATCATTTAAATTTGTCCTTCTTTGCTCAAGGATTTTGTTGTCCTCACTTACGAGTGCATTACAGCAGTTAGTTTTGCCATGGAATGTTACTATTACTATCGTTCAGATGTCGCTTTTAGTTCTCCATACGGAAAATATAATTAGAACCTTATTAAAACTCTCTGACATGCGTACCTACGTACTTAGATACAGATGGCCTTTCACTCGTCGAGCAATCTCCAGCTTTTTTGCAGCCCTTTCTGTCTCTAGCTAGCGTCATCCACAATATTGGTAATGAACTGCGGCGACAAAGTTCGCTGAGAATTCAGCTGGTCCATCCGTGCAATGGACACGTCAGCCCATCTGGTCCGTGGCCTCTTTCAAGGAAGTTTTGCCTTGCGAGGGATCGATTCCAAAGTTCTCAATTTCCATGTGTCGTCTGTCCTCCTCATTATGTGACCAGCCCATCGATGTTTTGC